CTGGTTGCTTTAAAAACATTGATACTGTTTTGGGAGCTCTTCTTTATAGGAAAATAACAACACTAAGGTAATGTTATCACAATGTATCACACCATTTTCCAAACAAACTTATGATCAACATTAAATGTACCACAATGTAGCACAAATAGATTATCATAAGATGGTAAATTCTTTTTAAACAAACAGTATATTCTTGAATTCAATAGTATTTAAAACAAAACAACCACCAACACTAAACACTAAAACTGATGATTTAAACCTAAAATCGTGTTAGGGAATGTAATGAGATGATACCTGTTTCTTCGATTGCTATAACATCAACATGGTCTTCATCATCGGTTTCTAGGTCAATAGCTTCGCTTTGTTTGTTTGAAAACTTAAACATCGATTTYGCCTTTAATCGACMGCTCCTTCTTCCTGTACCATTCCACATTACAGAAACAAGGGTTACTGGATTGTTCATATTGGAAATGAAGAACATAAATCGATTATACCTATTCCTTCGTCATCCTCCATCGTTTATGTATAGCCTTACACTTCCGATTACTCTTCGATTTCTCTTGCGATTAGACTAGGGCTTAGCGATGTCTTCTATCTCAAATACAGTAACCTATCTTCACCAAATTTAGATTCGAAATTGAACAAGAATAATAACGGATTTGAGCGCGGACCGAATAAAATAAADTAYAAAATGACGATATTGCCCTTATTCATATAATTTCATTAAATGATATTAATTTATTTATAGAAATAGAATAATTAATATTCTTTTTAATCTTAACCATTAATTTTTTTAATTTATGGTTGAGATTGGTTCTCACGGTTACCACAAACAATTTAGTTCTCATTTGATTAAGCCCCTATATATATATATATATATATATATATATATATATATATATGCAAATTTGATCTTGGGGTGTTACAACATCCGTGCCCATAAACTTTCTCATAACCCTATCAACAATCTGAAATTTATAACGAGGATCCAAAACAGCCGCAAATGCCATGTCTGTGCTAAAATTAGCCCAACATTTCTCAAACTTCTCATACATCCGACTAGCCATGTTTTGCATATAAGTATCATGACTGTCGTGATAGATGTCCAACAATCAAAGGTCAACTAAATCCTACCACGAGTACAAATTAAAGCATCTTTCATTTTCAAACTTTCCATCCTATACATCTTCAAAATATCAGCTTTTACTGTATTCTCTGAAACAACTTTTACTTTAGGATTTAAATAAGTGAAACATTTCCTAATTTCCTTCAGCAAATTGAAATGGCAATTCATGTTTCACAACTACACTAGCTAATAGCTCACAAAAAGTATTAGGGCTAAAATCAAGGAGCCTAACATTTAACGAACCACCACTACCACCATAATCCAACACCGTTTGTCCAATATCCTTAAATCGACTTTTTTGCAATTTCTAAAATGGCGTTTCAAATTCCGGGTACGTATCCTAATTTCAGCATTATAAACCTGACCACATTGTTTACATTTACAATATAACTCACCATTTTTATTAGGATCCATAAAATCAAAGCTATTCCATATCACAGATGTAAGTTTTCTTTGATGTTTGAATTCCACACCAGATTTGTTTGGTTTTAATTGGTTAATCAGTTTCTTCTCATTGTTCTTTGATGGAGGTGGAGAACTTTGTAGATCATCTTTTTTCGAAATGTCAACCGTATTACTAGTATTAATCACTGAAATAAAAGACTAAAGTTATATACAGTTTTATATTTGTTTCCCAGAACAAAATAGTATTAATCAATAATCATTGAAATAGTATTGGTTAGTGTTTACAATAAAAGAACCATACAGAAAAAAATTATAATGAACTTACTATTGGAATAGTGAAAAATAGACTGGAACTTGGACGAGAAAATGAAACATTATTAATATTAACCATATAACTGAAATGGTACTGTTGACTAAACTTTGAGATTTAAATTTATGTTCAATATTAATAATATTACTTATCGATACATAAGAATTGAGTGCTAAAACAGAAAACATAAAACTTACTATTGAGTGTGTTCGACGAGAGGCTGGAGATTGGAGACAAATGTTTGACGGAGACTCGGAGAGCCTATTGAGTCACTAATGTTAGACTCCTAGATGGATAGAAAATCGAGAGGGAGACAATTAGACAAATGTTGGACGGAGAGAGAACCGAGAAGAAGGAAAACGCTGCACAAAGAGATCGAGAGGCGGACAACAGACTTGAAGAGTTGGATTGGACTTTGAAGGCGATTATAGGGTAAAGGACTAAAGGGTTTTCTTAGGGTTTCATGATGATTAAAAGTAATGTAGGCGATTGGAATTTGGACTTTCATCTCACGACGGTAGAATTTTTAGTAAGAGTAAAACAAATTAAAAAACTAGAATACTAGATATTAAGAAGAAAAATAAAATTATATAATATTTTAAAGGGGTTGAAAACGGATTAAAAACAAGTTGTAACGGATTGAAAACATGTCAAAAAATTCAATCCTACCCGACTCATTTATTAAATGGGTTAGGCTGCTTAACCCATTTACAACTGCTAATTCTAGGTTGGGTTAGGGTTAACGAGTTGGATCAATTTTTTGCCACCCTTGTGACTTACCATGAAATTAATTTGGACGATTTTAGGATCATAAGTTTCCAAGAAAAAAAAAATCCATGTTGCTGTAGTGCATCATTGATAATAATAGATATTGATATTGTTAGCTATACCATTTTTTATGTAGGAAGTATTGTTTATAGATGCCTATTACTTAAAATTCAGTATTACAAATAAATTGTGCATACGTTCAACTTATTAAACCTCCATTTTTGAATTCGTATAATTAACTGCAAATAAATATAATCATATACAGGATAAAATCATATTTTAAAATATAAAAAATCTAAAATATAATTAGAATAATCGTTGAGTTCTAACATAATATTTAATTATTATTTTTATAAAAAATTATATTATTAAATCAAAAATAAATTGATTCGTTATTAAACTAATAAAATACTTAATTATTATCTTTATAAAAAATTATAT